GCCTGTTTTTAAAAAACGGCAATTTCCCACTCGCGCGCCTGAGCCGACGTCTAGAGACGCCCGCTCAGATCTAGAGAGCTCCGGGCCGGCCGTTTTTCTACTACGGCCGGCCCGGAGGCAGTTAATTCCAATTTTAAATCTGGCTAAAAAGAAAAAAAAGTTTGCGAAGTAACGGTTGTTTGGGTCAGGAGTGGAACACACGGCCGCTCTAGGTGTCCAGCAGTTGTTTTGAGAACATAGAGCTCCTGGTCATTAATCAAGAATCTGCCCAATTGTGGTCAGCTCATAGTTCAGCTGTCTATCTGATAAATGCTTTCATTTCCAGCTTGGCACTTCTGGTATACCACTGCAATGGTAGCGTCTCCCACCGCCTTGGTGATGGAAATACAACAAATAGTTCTCTTTAATCCAGTTAATTCATTAACAATAACATGTTTAACGCAGTATTTTTTTTTACCTACATCCCTTATTATATATATTTTTTGTGTATTATAATTCTCTTTAGCGAGCGTGCAAACCGAGAGGGAAAACGCTGATTCAATGAAGATAAAATATGCATGTAAACCAAAACGATACCCTTCTCTCATTTGCTCCCTTTTGGTCTGTTAAATATACCATTTGAAAGCGTTTTGTTATCTGTTTGAGAAGTGCAAAATACCTTATGATCTTGCCAGAAATCCAGTGCTGTCCTATGCACTCTGCAGTGTTATCTCAAGCCATATTATCAGGGAGTGTTCTGGGACTCCTGAACTCCTCCCCATTTTTTGTGGTGAGGAATGTGTAGTGTAGTCCTAACACGCTTCTGTTCTAAGCTTACAGTGCTGCTTTTCCATTGGTTGTGACATTGCAAAAAGTGTTTATTTACTGTGATAAAAGCAAGTGCATAACTGCATAGATTCCTGCAGTTATGGGGGTTAGTGTAACTGAATATTAAATTGCAAAAATGTAATTAGCAGAGGTTGATAAAATGTGGCAGTCTCTTTTAATCACCATGTCTAGAGCACACGTCAAAATCTGAATTATCTAGAAAAGGGCTTAAAACCCCCAAAATAGCAGAGGCCCTATAGAATAAAATAAATGCTAGTTTTTGTCGCAGGATAATTGATCAAATCAATATTTTTAGAAAAAAATATACTAAAGTGAATTTTAGTGCACACATTTATATTTTACAAAAAAATTGGTTATTATATAAGATGTAATTGTGTCAGATAAATAGATAACAAACATGTCAAGCCTTAAAGGAGAACTATGGGGTTAGGGCTTTTCCCCATAGTTCTCCTAAGGGTAACAGGAGGTCACAAACTAGCGTCCTCCTGTCACCCTAAGCTCAGTATTGCGCGAGCTACAGCCCGACATTACTGTTGAGATCTACCCAGCTGCGGGATTGACAGCTGGCTCTGCCTATCTAGAGGCAGAGCCAGCTGTGCCCGCCACCTCCCCGTCCGTTCCGCCAGTCAGCGCTGGAGGATCGGACAGGAGAGGGGGAAATCCCTGCAGGGAGCTGTGAGTGACAGTCACGGCTCTCTGCAGTGATTGAGAAGGTGAGCGAGCGACGCTATGTGTTCGCTCACTTCCCGATCTATTGAGCCGACCTGTGACAGTCTCATTGTCACAGGTCAACTAGAACTATGAGACTGAGTAATTTTCACTCACCTCATAGTTCTCCTTTTAAAACAGCCTACGCCTGTGAAATGGCAAAAAACTACAGTACCCAAAATTGCCCATAGGCGATATTCCTTTCCCTCATCAGTTTAGAGTTGACAGTGAGAAATGGCCCTAAAATGATTGCTCTCAATCCAACGTTCGTGGTGATATTTAACATGTGGCACAATCATTTTTTCACATTGGTGCACTCGGGGGTGTGTGTGTGTGTGTGTGTGTGTGTGTGTGTTTGTGTCCGTCCGTCCGTCCGTGGGGGGGGGGGGCTTTAATATTTTTTTTTTTTCTTGTAATTTTTAGCATCATACAAGTGATCGGCAGTTCTACAGCCCCCCAATCGCTTGTATGTGAAATCCGGGTGCGAGCTGCGAACAACGATGCAAAGGACATGGCTACAGCCATGATTTTGACTTTAACCACTTTTTGACTTTAACACAATGTTTATAAACGTATTAAGTAGTTAAAGTAGCTCAAAACCCAATCATTAAAATCTCTTATAAACTTCAAAGAAGTACTCTGGGTATATTACACATTAACCCTTGCAGTGTAGCAACCCCCACACTGCAAGGGTTTAGTGCTCATTTTGCTGTAGTCTTAATACCGGGGTGTCAAACTCAATTTCATTGCAGGCCGCATCAGCAGGGTCCCAAGAGAGGGTGTGTGGTCTCGCCAGCAGCCCCGGTCGGTCTTAGCGGGTGGGGACAGCGTTGATCCACAGGAAAGACATTTGCCAAAGGCGCTGTAAACGGACACCGCAATTCACAGGAGGGCAACCGGGACCTTGCTGGGGACCTGGCAGCCTTCCTTGAAGTCTGTTTACAGCGCCGGCTTCGGTCTCATTCAAAGTGCGGGTATCGGCGCTTGGTATCGGGCCATTTTCATGAGTATGAGTACTTGTGAAAATGCCCATTTTCGGCACCGGTATTGGTATCGATGTATCCCTAGCCAGTAGGGATGCACCGATGCAGAGTATTTTGGGCTAGTACTCGCCCAAATGCTTTTATGATAGCCCAATACTTCCGGTATCAGGAAGCCGGGCAGCGAGTCATTACACGCTGCCCGGCTTCCTGAATGGCCGGAAAGCCGGCTCTGTGCTCCCTCGTCACTAGGGGAGTTACTTCATGACTCACTGCCCGGCTTCCTGATTGGTTGGGAAGCTGGCCAATCAGGAAGCTAGGTGCTGTTAAATAACACGGCGCCCAGCTTTCTGATTGGCCAGAAAGCTGGCTCCATGCTTTCTCGTCACGTAGTGACGAGAAGCATGGGGACGGCTTCCCTGCTAATTGGGAAGCCGGGTGGCAAGTTTTTACACGCCTCCCGGCTAATCCGGGTACCGGTATCGGTGCATTCCTACTAGTCAGTATGTCCAAAGTGTTCTGTCCTGTCTGCTGCTGACTGCGGAGACAAGGGGGGGTGCAGAGACGAGTGGGTGTCGCAGCTGCAGCAGAGTTGCGAGGGCCACATCAAATGGCCTGGTGAGCTGGATTCGGCCATGAGCCTTGTGTTTGACACGTATGGTCTAAAATAAAAAAGGATATAGTTACCCTATCCTCGGTCCTGTGGCGGGGACTACTCTCCTGCTTCGCTCCGGCTGTGGAATGTCCCTCGGTGTCATGTCCAATGCCAGTGAATGGATATACAATTAGCAGAGTGGTGTAAATACTGTATTGAGGAGGGATGACGGTGATAATCGGCTATGCAGCAAGAAGAGGGGGATGTATATAGATGGCCAGTGAGGTGGAGCAATGCAGGTAGGAGAAAAATTAGGATGATCGTAGTTGACCCAGATTTGCACCATGGGGCATGCTGGAGTAAGCACGGTCAAAAGCACCACCATTCAACAAATGGTGTGCGCCACTTTTTTAAATTTGTCACAGGAAGTGCTAATTAAGCAGGCATGTAGAAATTGGTGCATTTAATGAGTTAATCCCCTCCACAGTGTTTTATCAAACTAACGGGTTTATGGGCGGATGCCATTTGCACAGCAATAGTGCCTGTAGAAGATGGTGCTGGGGAGTATAGAAATTTCCCATGCTCCTCAGCACCACATAGGAGAGCTATATGCTGGACGGACATTTTATAAATAAACCCATACATGTCATCCGCTTAGGATGTAGGCCTGCTTTATTGGTATGAGCAACTTGCTCTTTGCCAAAGTCTTGGCTGAGACATCTATCTTGGTCTTTGCTGATGGGAAGGATTATTATTCAGGCAGACACTGATCAACCAGCTCTGCCTGAACAGCAGATCCCTAAACCTCTTTAGAAAACCAGCTGATGGAGGGAGCACTGAACCCAATTCTACATGAAGGTTTTGTTTTCCAATCACTGTTTATGTGGTTCTGCTGGATTGGAGTTAAATTTATGGATAAAGGTGCCCATACACGGTCCGATCGAACCGTCGTACGATTGTCGTATGGCGGCCCCATCCTGCCCCGATTATCGCAAGGTTCAATCAGCGGTAGTTAAAAAAAACCACCTGGACGAAATGCGGTAATTGACCGCACATATTTTCGTTTGCACATGAGCAGTGTTAATCGTACAATTTCTTATTTTTTGGTTTAATATATTTTTATTGTTATTATTGATTCATATCCACACAATTACACCAATTTCATAAAACTTATTAACATCTGTTTGTTATTTCAAAGCATAAATAAAACACATTCTAAATTACAAATGTCTATAACATTACTTTCAATAACAAACATTACCCGTTCTATCTCTTTCCCCTTCCTCATTCATTCTGATCTTTCCCCCTTCTACTCACTTCTCACCTTACAGCCCTAACTCATACCGAACTCATATCCTTATCTGGGGGGAGGGGAGGTCTATTTTATGTGTGTTTGTGATTTTCGTCTTCCAATCGTACAACTTTTGACGTATGGAAACGCCACCAACCTTGCGAAAATCGTACGATCGACTGAAGTTTCCGAACATGCAGGAAAGACAAAAGTCGTACGATTGTTCAGTACTGGCGGTTCCACACTACCCATACACCTTACGATTCTCGTACGAAAAGTCGATCGCATACGATTATCGTACGATAATCGTAAGGTGTAAGGGCACCTTAAGTCCACTTTTTCAGAGATAGTTGGAGGTTACATGAAAGCAGGAGTTGGAGTACATCTATGTTTGTAATAAAGTTCATACTTTTGTTTACTGGATGATAAGTCTTGCAGTGTTTCCCACTGTCGTATTTAGCTGTGAGATTGATGGCTAGAACTGCCGACCTCTACGATGTACACAAGTCTTTGTGCGCTCTTGTTTTGAAAGCATGCACTGAAGGGGGTCAACAATTGTTTGGCACTGTGACAATGCCCCGTTTAATCTGTTTTCCAGGAATGATTTATTAATGGTTTGCCGCCAGCTGAACATGGAGGATTCGGTGGCTGAAATCATGCATCAGCTTGGAGCCGACGAAAATGGGAAGATCTCATTTCAAGATTTCAGCAAGTGTCGTATGCAGCTAGTGCGGGAAATCAGAAAGGAGGAAGTAGATTTGTCTGACGACTCCCTCAAGAACAAAAAACTGCGCGATCGGATCACTTCCTGGCCGACTGGGAGCGATCACAGCTTAGGTGGGTTTTCTGATTATTTAAAGCTGTTTTATATGAAGTGCTGCTAGGATGTGAAATTTGGTGCTGCAGCACGTTTTAAAACGTTTGGAAAATAATAAGGAAACGGCAAATTAAATTTCATTTGCCTTTTTTTTCTGCAAATGTTTTGTTAAATTAAGCATTTCGAGAAATTGGCAAATCATTTATCTGTCATTGAAAATTATACAAATATGCACTAAAAAGAATAAGAAAACATTGCACACAATAAAAAAACAATTTGGTCCTAGCGGACAACTTATGCTGTCCTTTAAATGCCTCCACCCCTTTGAGTGGCAGTTGCCTACCCAAATTCTTTACTTTTTAGGCTGTATTCCTCTGGATGGCTAGGGGCTGCCATGATTATGGACCAGCCATGAGAATAATTTCACCAACTAGCGCACATGTTCAGTAGGAGCTGGACATGACCAGGACTTTGTCTTCAGAGACTGCGGTTGCAGAGAAGGCAGCAAGTTAAGCTGGGTATACAGTACACGGTTCATATGTCATTTGAAAATTAGTTTTTAGAACATTGGTTCCATTCTCTAATCGTTAATGGGGTCAAAGCGATTTTGACTGTAGTGATAGAAAGAAAATCAACGGAGAGTGATTGAAAATTTTTCTTGATGAAACAAATTCTAGCAGTGAATGTTTTTTTTGTCCAGGAAAGTCCATTGCTTCCAAAATCGAATATGTAAATCAAACAAAATTTTGAACGAAAGTTGTCAATTCTCTGATAGCATTATCAAATGTTCTGATGAGATTTTTTTTTGTACGAATGTCCATATGAAATTCCAACTACGTATAAGAAGCTTTAGGCACTCAGGAGTATTTTAGTATATGGCTGTGGGGTGGGGGAACATTTAAAGGACAGCTGTCCTCTTAAGGCTGAACGTTTTATACGGTTATTAAAAACACTGTAACACATTTTATTGATCACTTTTTTTGTGTTTTAACAGAGACCTCATGTTCCTGAAGTCAGGAACTCAAGACTGTGCCAAATTGCTTTCCAGGCTAAATACCTTTTTTTTTTTTTTCTTAAAATAAGACCACCAGGCAAACACAATCTTAACCCTGGTTAATTGGGCTACCCCTGCACTGCAAGGGTTAAATGCTTGTTTTAGTCTAGGGTGTAAAACAAAAAAATATATATTTTCACCCGAACCTCTGTCCCACCTGGCTGCTAGTGTGGTCCCCACAGTCTCTCTCCTACTCCGCTCTGGAAGTGAATTGTCAGCGTACTCATGTCTAATACAGTGTAGAATGGGTAAAGTGACAAAAAAAAAAACAACTTTTCAGAAGAACCCGCTGATACCTTCTTGCACTTCTTCACCACTTTGTTGCTTTATCAGAGTGTTGGGTCCTCTACCTGCCTAAGCTTCGACACAGAGCTTACAAAGGTTTAATTTAACTTTCTTCTCCACACATGACAGTGTTGGCAATTGGCTGTTTAGGCCCAAGCATTGCATCCTGGGAAAGGTCACATGCTCCTATATACCCTGAAGGACCGAGTATTTACTTAAAGAAGAACTATGAGGTGAGTGATTTCCACTTATCCTCATAGTTGGAGCCAACGTGTGACATTAAAACTGTTGCATGTCGGCTCTATTGATAGGGAAGTGAGCGAACACATACTGTAGCTCGCTCACTTACCAATCATCTCCCTGCAGAGAGAACGTGATTGTCGATCACTGCTCCCCGCAGGGATTCCCACACCCTCACCCCTTCCATCCTCCTGCTGAGTGGAGGAACAGACTGGGGAGGGGGCGGGCACAGCTGGCTCTGTCTATCAGAGCCAACTCGACAGCATTGTTGGGATCCATCACGGCTGCAGCGCTCAGTATGTAGCGAGCTATATACTGAGCTTTGGGTCACAGGAGGACGTTCATATATGTCCTCCCTTGACCCTAAAGAGAACCATGGGATAAAAAGGTTACCCCTTAGTTCTCTTTTTAAGGCTCTGACAAATCTCTGATTGGACAAACTTCTACCCCATAAACACATTTAATTTTAAAGACCTGCAGCTTTCCCGAGAACAACAAAGTGACCAACATTTTTTATTTCTAATATTTATCATGCAGGTGCTCTATCAGGAGCTAGGGAGAGTTGGGAGTATGATTCTGGAGCACGTGACCTCCAGAGCCCAGACCCACAGAATCATTCCATCATGCAGAAATTTTTGGAATTTGGGGGTAAAGCAACCACACAAGCAGCTCTACAAAGACTTCTTTCTCAGAGCTCCTGTCTCGGCAACAATGTTGGGGGAAGCTACCTGGAACTTGCCAATACTGTAAGTAAATACCTATCTATTGCTTCAGTTTTATTGCTTCTAGCAAGGTAGAGTGGTTTTTTTATGATGTGCTCCTGCCGCCTCTTGTTGGAGGCAGTCCAGCAAGAGAATAGGTCACCAGCATGCAAGAGGATGAACATTTTGTATTTCTATTTGTATGCTCAAAGTTCTATAGTGGCATTTTTGCTAGACACAAGTTAAAAGGCATACTGGGTTACTATGGAAAAACTATTACAAGCGAAACTGCATCTGCTGCCTACAGCAACCATAGTTGACGAGGACCGGACTAAAAAATTAGTAGTGGTCCTTGGACTCACTGTAAGGGTTAAATGCTCATATCTATGGAGAAAAAAGTGTCAATGTTTTACTCATTCCTCACTCCTGCAGGCTTCCTGCCTTGAATAAGCGTGGTCCCAGGAACCCGATCTTCTTCGCCACTCATCCAGCCGTGGCCTCTCCCAATGTTAATACAGCTTCAGAGAGGTCCGTCCACATACTAGCAGTGGAAGAGAGCGCCAACTGCTGGGCTAATAAGGGAATTATTGCTATCTATACTCCTAGACAAAACAAGCATTTAACCCTTGCAGTCTGGAGGGAGGGGTGCTGACACTACATAGAAATAATTGTAGTGCTGATTGATTTAGGTGCTGTTAGAATTTTAGCCAATTAATTTTGTTTGGGAGGTTTTATTGCTTCCAATTTCATTTTTTTTGTTTTCGATGGAGTAAGGAATGGTTAAACCCTTATCAGGTCATTTTTGCTGTGTACGGCTAGGAAGATTCCCCTTTTACTTACTGGAGGCATAAAAGGAAATGAGAAGAAATCTCTATAAAGTAAATAGCATTCCCATCTTAAAGGGTTGTGCGAGCAATAGGTGACCCCTTTGGAGGATTTTGCCTCACCTTTTCCCCTGATGAGAACTCAAAATGTTTGGCTTTTCCCATCACTTCCTATCCTGCTGAAAATGGTCGTCATAACAAATCGGGGGGGAAATCTCCACACTGGAGACTCTTAACAGCAGTGACATATTGAAACAAGATCCAGCCCTTACCTGGTTACATCTACACTTTACGCTTTACAAATTACATGTTAGGGGGTTAGGTATCAGCCAATAAACACCGGGTTCACAGCACCAAAAACCTACATATAGTAATCTTAGCATATGGCCGTAGCCCTTGTTCAAGCTCCTGATGCAGCTATAATAAATGGAGAAATGCTAGCAATTACAGTTTTGATTTTCTTAAACATGAACGTAAGTAAAATTGATAAACAGGAAGTAGGGAGAATTGGACCTGTTAGGTTGAGGGAGAAGGCCCCAAAAGCAGGACTCAGGTAGTTGGTATTCTACTCCTGTACGGAGAAGTGGATAGTGATGACTTTTTCATGGTTTATTGTTGAATGTGCACTTGGAAAAGAGCAAAAATCTGGGAAAGAATTGATAAAGTTCAGCTTGGCTGGCTAGGGAAGAAAGAATAGAAGTCCCAGCACCTGACCTGAACTATGGGCCAGTGAGCTGGCACAGCACCCTGCATAGTTGGAAAAGTGGATAGTGAATTGTTTTAGTCTAACGATTTAATGTTTTCTAATTTGAATGTCGGCCATTAAACATCCTCTATGATAATAATGCTGTGCAATGTGAATGTCACTATACAGCATCATATTCATTCGGGATTTCTTTCTTTTAAATAAATGTCTTTTTGGAAATGTTAATCTGCGACTAAGGGATACTGAATCCTGATTGAACTGTGTAATACCATTACATTATTGCACGCTTAATTATGTCCAATCTCTAGGTTTTAGGAAATTTCCATCTTTCTGTTGTGGTTTAAAAAAATGTAATTGAAATTCCACACATTTTGCAGAGAAACTGATTCCTTTAAATGATAGCAGTAATTTTCTGCAGTGTACATTTCCGTCTATTAGAGCATATTTAAATTATAATGAACATCAGGCTGAGAGAGTGTCTTTTCATTTTGGGAACTTGTGTTGAGAAAAATTTCATCTGTGATTCCCCAAGGACTGCAGTTTTAAATTACAAGTGCCAGAAGTCTAATTAACAAAGAACAGATAGTAATTGCCAGCTTCAAGTCAAGAAGGTAGAAAAAGTGGTTAAAGCTATCCAGTTTTTTCTTGGTTTCACTTTGTTGTCTGGCATCCATCTATCTCTGACCTTATTGCAAGGGTGGGCACAGTCTTCGGAGATTGTGAAGTCAATCAGTCTGATGTAGCCTCTAGCATACAGTTAAGAGTGGACCTGAAATAATAAAAAAAAACAAAAAACATTTGCTATGTTCTAGGGAACACATTTTAAGTGTTAATTGGGCCTAAGCGGTACCCAGAAAGATGTATTTTTTTAAAGATTCTAAGCCAACCCTTTCACCTAGCAAAATGGACGCTTCCACACATAAAAACCATGCAGAGCAAAGTATGGGAAAAGTTCAGCTGAAAGGAGACCAGTCAATACTGGTGGCTAGTCTTTTGCTCTGTCCAATTGTTTTTCTTTTGTTTAAACTTGCAGAATTAAGTCCTCCTTTGTAAAATAAAAAGTGTGTGTGTGTGTATATGTGTGTGTATATATGTATGTATATATTACACTCTTAATATAATCACCTTGCCTTTCACCGTGATGCTACAGTATGTTTATGGTGGGAGGATTACCCACTGTTACCTTTTTGGCTTTTACTTATTATTCTTTGTTGTGATGCAATGTGACATTTATTATATTTAAGGTTAAAGCATAATATTGTCATCTAGACTTGTAAATATTATTGATGGGTTAGATTGAGCAAATTTCTTCTTAACCCTTGCAGTAGGGCTACCCCCACACTGCAAGGATTAGGTGCTTCTTTTTGTCTTAACTGCCAAAAAGAAAGCTTTACTCACCCGAACTTCAGAGCTGGATTGCTGCTACTTTGGTCCCTGAAGCATGTTATTTCCACTGCAGCGATGGTATATCCACTGGTGTCCTCACATCCTATACACTTTATATAGCACATGATGACACTGGGACCTTAGACAGCTGCAGTGGAAGTGGAGAGAGGCTCCAGGGACCGATCTAAGAGCAAGCTGGCTCTGAGGTTTGGGTGAGTATATCTTTTACATTTTACTAAAAAAATGTCAGCACCTGACAAAAACAAGCACTTAACACTTGCAGTGTGGGGGTAACCCCACTGCAAGGGTTATTAAAAAAAATTGCCTGGAGTTTTGCTTTAAATCACCTGCATGTTGACATAACCAGTCATTTTTCTTTCATGTAATGATCAATTGTGCTTTTTACATGCTGGAAAACCATATTCTGATATGCTGTATTACTGTATGCTGTTGCATTGTATAATGTAATAAAGTTAACGGAAAAAAAATGGTCTGGCCACCTGAGCTGATGGTAGGCTGGGCCTGGCAGTGAATGGCTTAAACTTGCCTTGTTAGGTGCAAAAGAATTGTTGCTGAACGTAAGCACTACCTTACCATGACCGTACGGATGATTAAACTGTCATAGTGAAAATTAGATTATCTCTTCTATCTTAGTCCTGAAGGTGCCTTCAATTTAATGTGCCACAAGAAATCTATTCTGTAATATATCAAAATTAAAATATTGGTGCTGACATGCGAGGCACCAGATTGTCAGCGCCAAAAATGTTGTGCTGAATCCAACTGCACCATGCTGCGACGAGCATTTGGCATTGTCTGCTTGAATATCTGATTATATAATTGTCATGTACAAACATGTAAAAATGATAACCTTACAATTCATTTCAGGTATATTTTATTGTAACACCTTTAATGAGTGATTTGTATATATTGTTTTTAAATTAAACTTTATAAAGTGTTCAAGTTGCTCTTTGTTGTGGATCCGATGGTTGAATTGGGCTGTTTGTTTAGGTAACACATTGCTGCAGAAAATTCAGATTAAAAAAGAAAACATTTCCTACTAGACTCTCATTAGCCTGAAATAACCTGTGGAGCGTCATGTTTTTATGGTGAGAAATACTCACTTTGGATCAGCAAATCATAAAAAAAAAAAATCTCTTCTTAATTATAGACTGACTGACTAAAATTGCACTGGGTGGCTCAGCGCACCTTATGTGCACCATATCAATTTTTGGATTATAGTTAAGGGTAAAATTTATGGCTTACTGCAATGAAGCTGATTTTGGAACCTTGCCTAGCACCAATATTAGGAAGACATTTCTACTGTTATCCAATATCCAATTTCCTTTTTGCAGCAATATTATGCTTTCAATGGGCTGGGAAAAGGCTTGCATTTGTTTAATGAGAAAATATCCTTTCATACATTTAATAAATCTCCTTTTCCTTATTCATCCCCACTGACTAATTAAAAAATAACAAAAGATCAAATTTGGATGTCAGTGGGCAGAAGTTCAAGTGTATGTATGTATGTATGTATAATCTATCTATGACGCTTTTATGCGTGTTTGGCGTGCGTCAATGCAAGGGCAAAGACGCGCGTTGTACAAGCCATTTTTGGGGTGCCATTAACAAGTAATGGGGAAGTATATACTATCATGATAAATAAAAAACCTAATCAGTCATATGACACCAGTGATAGTAGCATCTAACGTACTGTTGCGATCAAAATGTAATGTGATAAAAGCTTTGGAACCTGTTTACAATATGCCAAAAAAAACCTGTACCATATGAAAATGAAGTAAATGATGAAGAAAAATAAAAATAAACATGCATGCAGTATTCTGGTTTAAGGATGAAACAGAACATGTTTTCTGCTGGGTGAAAGAAGTCAGAAAAGGTACTTGTCGTCTGTAGAGTACATTTGTATATGGTGTATCCATACTGCTAGCTTGTGTTTTTTCTTTTTACTCTTTGTGTTATCGTGAATGGTCATGAGAGGGAGTTCTCAGACAGATTAATGAGGCCAGTCTTTGTGCAGCACAGGCCTCTCCAGTGTTTTCTCTGTGTGTCTACGAACGTGGTGCCAAACTCTGTTCACTAGAGGCAGTCTTCCCGTATGACGGTGCCGGGGC